GCGATTTTTGTCCGTCTTGGAGTTTTGGCGATTTTTCGAAAAGGTAAAATTAACATGGGCTGCTTGTGTAGACAGTAGTAAATAATTCTGTGTTCCTACGTGGCCGGAAACATTGACAAAGCATAAGTTGTGTGGTGTTCTCATATCAAAGAGAGGAAAATACATGGTCAGGCAGCCACCACCAGCGAGCAGGGTTTAGCACCTCTATTTCCTGGTACTCGATCAAACGTGTTGCTTACAAATGGAATGAGCCTATGATAAAACTAGCGTATAAGCCCGTCTCCCGCCGGGCGAGAGTGGATTTGATTTTCAAAATTCCACCAATTAAAATATTTTAAAGATATTTATTAGCTTATACTGTTTGAAGTCAACAGAAGTGAAATGATTTTATAACAGTTGGAAAATTAAAAATTTAGAAAAAATCTACAGACAAATTTTCATGCTATGCTAATTGTGCGGGGAAATAAAGCCGAGCTGAGCTGCGGCCTAGTACTACTTGCTATCTAACCAGGGCTTGGGCTAGGGCCCGGCCGGGCCGGGCCGAGCAGGGCTGCACCAAGTACTACTCGCTACCTTACTCTAAGGAGTGATTGGGCTAGGGCTGGGCTGGGCTTGGGCACAGTACTACTCGCTACTTCACTCTAAGGAGTGATTGGGCTAGGGCTGGGCTTGGGCTGGGCTTGGGCACAGTACTACTCGCTACTTCGCTTATCGTACCTAAATAACCACCACCCCTCAGATAACCACCATCCCTCAGATAACCACCACCCCCAGATAACCACCACACCCAGATAACCACCATACCCAGATAACCACCACCCCCAGATAACTACCACCCCGAGATAACCACCATCCCTAAATAACCACCACCCTCATAAGCCCATACAAAGAGTACCACACCTTCTGGTATTTAATTTTTTGAATTTAATTTATTTTGAATTTTCGCGCCATTCGAAACTTAACTTTCTCCACTTTCACTTCCGTTTCGGAAAATCACTTTCACTTCCGTTGCCGACAGACATTTCCAGCTTATAATATAATATAGATATTTATGATTAGGAAATTTTTACCATTAGTTACATAGTTTTTGTGTCCAAGCTAATCCTAAGACTACCCTATCGTGTGAGCTCGCAAGTCGAAATGATTATGAGCTTATGAAGTGAATTTTTTGTAATTATACAAATAGGGGATGAGTACCCACGTGCAATATATGTATGTATGGTTGTTAATTAGATCTGATAAACTATGTAAATATGTACCCGAATCCATGGGAACAGTTTGCCAAACTGCTGCTACAATTAGTTCCATCTTTAATCGATTTATAATTTATCTGATTACTAATCAGTGCAACGCTAATTTGTAACTATTTCCTTATGTGTAGGAAGACCACCTTGCTCTCCTGCATAGTCGGCCTTCGTGAACTGGACATGGGGGAAATTATCTTTTTTGACCAACCTCGTCCAGACAACCTGGCGCAAATGCTGGGATACATGCCACAGGTAAATTAATTGGAGAAACTTAATTCAATTATTACTTACTTAAATAATTCCCATAGGAAACCGCACTTCTCAACTTATTAACAATCGTGGAATCGCTGCGGTATTTTGCAATGATTTATGGCATGGATGAATCTGAGATTAAGAAACGGATCGATTTTCTAACAACTTTTCTTGATCTGCGTCAAATAAGTAATTTAGTGCATACCTTGAGGTGAGGAAAATTGCTATGGAAAACGATTCATATCATCAAGATAAACCAAATTTCTTGACTGATACATAAATATGTGTACCAATGACGCAGCGGTGGACAGAGAAAGCGTGTTTCACTGGCCATTGCGATGATTCATAATCCACGAATTCTTGTCCTCGATGAGCCTTGCGTTGGGCTGGATCCTTTGTTGAGACAGAGGTACGTAATGATTTGCATATCATGAAAGATAAGCACCAACCCTCAAGTATCCATGATCTCACAGGATTTGGGGATATCTATCTGACCTTTCACGTAATTTTGGGGTCACCATAATTGTCTCCACACATTATATGGAAGGAACTAAACACTGCGACACGGTAACAAATTCCTATGAAATGTATGTGTTAAGCCTTGCATACATATTATTCACTTTGAATTACAGGTCGGGTTGATGCGTGGAGGTCGACTACTGGAAGAGGATAACCAGTGTTTCTGCTGTTAAAAAACAGCTGCACAAAATTAGTGCATAATAATGTTTTTATGCGTTTAATAACACCCACCTAGAAGTGCACAAAATGCACAAAAATGCACAAAAATAATTTTAATGCCCACAATGCAATAATGTTACATACTTAGTTTATTAGACCAATACTAACGTATGTACTACATGTTCTCATCGCTATTAATACTATCAAACCATTTCCGCTTCCTTGAAGTCGGAACTTTTTCCTCCCCAGTTTTGTGTAGCGTCTGATTTACTCTACATAGTTTCGATGCTTTCTCTACGCCAAGGCGATTGCGCTTCTTTGTCAGGATATTTCCAAGGGATGAGAAATTCCTCTCTAAAGACGCCGTCCCTGCCGGAAGATTAAATAGGGACACAGCAAATTCCGTAAACCCTTTTGGTAATTTGTTTTGATTTGCAGCTCTCCACCATTTTTGTGGTGGAATCGACCTCGTAGAACTTTCAAGTAGCATTGTTTCCGAGAAAACTGATGCATCAGAATTATGCAAATCCATTGCGGCTAATAAATATAAAGTTCCTTTCTTGTTCAGGATTTTACGACCTTTTTCTTTCTCAACTTCGGTTAGTCCGTCCCCTAGTTCAAATATTATTATAAATATTACTTTTTAGCCTATCAACAAAATTTAGGATTTGAAAAATATATTGCCTTTAAAATGAGGATGTAGCATATGCGCCGTAATTGCTATATCGGTCATTGCCATTTTCATTTTCTCCTGGAAATAATTGTCGTTCGCGTATTTGAGAGGAATTTCCTCCCGAACTGTGATCCACTGTTGACACATATCCGCCAGATTTGCGTCCTCGCGTTGCAACTAAAGTTGGAAATAAGAAATTTTTGTTTGGTTTTGCAAATTTTAAAATCTTGATTAAAAGTTTAAGAATACTTACACTATCAATCGCCTTAACCACAGAACTAAACAACTTTATCATTTGCTCCACTGAATCATACAAACTCGTATCCGATATTATGGCATACACAGAATCGTCTTCATCACGCTCCGATTTCGTTCTTTCTGACGTGTTCGTCAGAAAGAACGGACGGATGATCGGACGGAAAAGCCGGAAACGGACGGAAAAGCACGGATGATCTCTAGGTATTTGCCGTTATTTTCTAAATAAGACAAACAACAGTCGGTTTGAGAGTTCCAACGTACGGGCATAGGTAGAACTGGACGTTTCCCCTTTGAAGATTTCAAATCGGCTCTGGCGTAGTAATGATTCCGAAAATATTTCTGAACTTGTATAACTTTGTCCATCAACTCTTTGTTGGTATAGTGCTGGCCAACTAGATTTAGCAAATGGGGCGAGCATCCGTAAACAATTACATTGGGGTTATTTTTCTTGACCAGGTTCTGCAGCGCTAGCATTGTATTACAATTATCAGTGACCAGTCCTACAACCTCGCAATTAATCGTTTCAAGCTGCTTCAATTGTTTTTCGAATAATGAGTAACAAAATTCAGCAGTCTTCGGATAACCACCTGTCGCCTCTGCACCCAAGAAAAAGGATTGTCCATTACAAATTGCGCTATGCGCAATCACCGGTTCTTGCTGGATAGTGCTCCACCCATCCTGAGCGAGGACCACTTTCTGATTTTCCAATTGCTTTGTTAATTCCAATTCTGTTCGCTTAAATTCATTATCAAGTAGAAAACCACCGACGGTTTCATGTTTGGGCAATACATAGCTTGGATTAAGGAGTCCAACAAATTTGCAAAAATACTCGTTTTCTACAACATTGAATGGTAAATTTGCCGAGTAGATAAATTTTCCAAGGGATTCGTCCAATTTGTCTTTTGTTCTGGGAAGCATTTTGTACATAAAATTGGTGATCTTTGTGGTTGCAGCTGATTCTTTTCCAACAGGCGGACTGATTGGGGTAGGGAGTCCTTGGGAGACTGGAGTTTTATTAAACTTCCTGCACTTTTTCAAGTGATTTTCCATTCGACTTGATTGAGCGCTTACTTGTTCCTTACAGTGTTTGCATTTATTTGAAATAAAATTCTTTCCTCTTGTTACGGTGATGAATTCCAGCCACACCTGATTTTGAGGTCGACCTCTTGACCGTTTTCTTCCGGTTCCAGATTTGGGAGTATTTGTGACAATTTCAACATTGTCTTGATTCCGATTCTCTGACAGGCTAGCTTCGACTTCAGAATCTGATCCAGGCTGGTAATTAGGATCCTGGCTTAATGAAGATGACTCTAAAGATAGAGATATATTGGATTTTATGGGTTGTGATTTAATGAAATTTCAAATTCATTCATACCGTCTTCGTCTTCGTCTGGAACCATCTGTTCGTTCTCGTGTTCACTGGGTCGGAATAGATCTAAAATTGATAATAATCTATATATTTATAATCGTCTAAAAGTAATTCGAACTATTATTCGAATTATTAGTAGTACGATAATGACAATATGCTTACCAATACTTTCCATGTAAGTTAATTTCGAATCAGTTTCGTTTTCTGCAATTTATTAAAAAATAATATAAATAAACACACGTTGAGTTGCCCATGAATATCGAATTTCGTAAAATAATTAATATTTTTTTTATTTACCTGAATTGTCCAACATGTCCCTAATCTCCTGAGAATCCATTGAAACCAATCGATAAGATTGTGCCATTGTCCTCGAGGAAAACGCGCCTTATATAACTTTTTACAATAGCTTTTACAGTTTTTAATCCTGGAAAATTCTACTGAGTTGAGTGGATATGAAAGATAATTTCCCGGCACTCTGCCTTTGTTTGCATTTTTATGCATTTTTGTGCATTTTTGTGCATATTATGCATTTTGTGCATATTATGCACTATGCATGCACAAAAATAATATTATGCGCACAAAAAGAAACACTGAGGATAACCCTAGCTCGTTACTACGTAAATGCAAAGCTGTAACCATGCAAGACGCGGTTTTGTACTTGTGCCGACAAGACGAGGTTAATTTATCCCATGAAAAATTTGAGTCTCAAAATGCAACGAAATCAATTTCAAGTACCAGAATGAATCGTAAAGCATCGAGATTTAATGATCTCAACGCCATGTGCTCACCACGTGTTAAACCAAACAACGCTAAAATTATTCACGCTCTTAGCGTCAAATGGTGGACTCGGCATTGTCGAGATTGGAGGTAATATTAGTTGTAAAATACATACCTTCACAAACTCGAAGACATTTTAAATATATGACAGTTAACTTATTGCCGCAATTCGCACTATCCTTGGTAACATTGTAAAATTCGTAAATTCTTTCAAAATTTTACACATATTTCTGATAAAAATTCGTTAATAAATTTTGTAACCTTACTCAGATCAAGGGGTCTTATATTTTGTAAAAGTTTGTAAAATTATTTTACAAAACTTACGGATTTTACAAGTCACCCAGAACTACGTGAATTGACCAATTGTTTACACACATCAGGTTATTATTTGGAGAGCTGGGTATTCCAATTTTGGTTGCGTTGACGTTTGAAATTATCGCGGGAACGGAACCAAGCGGGGTAAAATTTGGGATAATCCATAATGATCCAGGTTTCAATATAAGCGATGCAACTTGTAATTACAATAATGCGACACGATGTTTCGAGAATGTGGGAATTTGCGACTTCCTGAAAAACTTTGAAACTGATAAGTTTTCCTGGGTACGAAACACATCTTCCCGAGTAATGAATTGTAAAATTGTAATTAATGTGCGAAATTTGTAGATTCATGTAAACTCATTCCAAGATGGCGTTAGTTTATTAGAAGGTGGAAGAGTTCTTGGGATGTTGGAGTTTCCCGCGAACTTTAGCCTGCACATGCAAAATAGAATGTTACAGCGCAATTTTGCTAATAATGAGACGATAGATGGATCCACGATTTCAGTCAGAATGGACGAGTCAAGTATGAAAATTTAATTTATTTTATAACTTATTGAGGCAAATCACGAGTTCTTGGTAACATTGTAAAATCTTTTACCATGTGCTTTCTAAGGAAAATTAACGTAAGCATTTTTGTAAATAAATAAACTTATTCGGGTTAAACACATCTTTTAATTTTGGAAAATTATTTTACAAAATTGCAAATTTTACAAAGACTGCGTGAATTGCCTCGATATTTAACTACACAAATCTAAAAATAAGTATGCATATTTATGTACACATGTTCCTCAGATAAAATATTGACTTTTTGGGCAAGGAAAATTATAATCGACAAATACCTCAAGTTCATTGAAAGCATAGCTTTCGCTTGTTCTTTCAACGGGAACATTGCTCAACCAGGGCTCCAGGTTAGCTAAATATATAAAAGGAACGATAATACTTTTTGACTAATAAAAAAATGCACTTATTTTAATTCAGTTTACCGCGATTTATGGAAGCATCGAACTATTTGATGTCCTCTCTTATATGAAACCTGGTATAATAATTCTGTAAGTAAATTCCCTAAGTTTTGTATTTACCATTTAGTTAGGACTTTAATTTATTGAAGTCTTGATGTTGACAGCCACATGTTTCTGTTGCCAATGTCAATCGTCCTGATTTCGACGGAAGACCGAGTCGTTGGCGTTGAGGGGAGAGAATTTATTTCCGGAGTGCACTTCCGGCACCGACTTATTTCAGCAATTTTGACTCAAAGTTGCATGATTTTGGTACAAATTGGGATATTTCTGGGGGTAATGTACACTTTTTATGGCACAGTGATCAAGGGTTCGTGGGTACTTGCAGTGAGTCTAATTTACTCTTGTGCCATAACCGGGTTGATGTTTGGTACGTATGCAAATAACGTGAAGTTTGGTTCAATTCAAAGGTAGATTATCAAGCTTTGCTTTTCAGGTGCTATGATTGGGGCATTGTGTGACAAGATACTTGACGTTATATTCATACTAATGCTAGTTGTTCTGGGACAATTATTTGCCACAGGTATTAGCTGTTTACAACGGGTACATATTTATGACCTTATCAATTTTCGTACAATGTGCATAGCACGGTACCAAAATTGTTACGACCTGTCTTTGAAGCCTCTTATCCGAGTCTTTGTTTACCGAAGTTGCCTGGTAACGATTTTTTAACAGCAAAACAATAATTATCTGCATAATCGATTTCGCTTGGACAATCACTTCAAATTTTACTTCTGGTAAAAAATCGTTACCAAGGTGTCGTTTTGTGTCAAACGTGACTACGATATTTATTCTTGTTGTTGAAATAAAGGAATGTTTCCTCTGGAAATGGCGCCATGGATTGTTCGTCAACTATTTGTGTTCTTACCGATAACACAAATGACTAAGGCGCTGAGATCAATTTGCACGAAAGGATGGGGCATTACGAATCCGGTCGTGGTCACGGGCTTCCTACCCGTGCTTGGCTGGATAGCGGTTTCCTTGGTCGTTATAGTGCTAGCAGAGCGACGAAGATACAAATAAGTAGATGAACATGTACACATTTTACGTAGGCATTAATTACTAAAATATATTTAAATTAAATAGATCTGAAAGCTTACATGTTTCTTACAAAATTGTATTTAAATTAACTAAATTAATTGCAAGAAAAATCAAACATATGTACATACGTGTTAGGTTTGTTTTGAAAAAAGTTTGCGGAACAAATAGGTCAATTTTGTCAAAATATTTGGAATCAAATACATGTACACATCAATTTGTAATACACGCCAAGTAATTAAATTTGTAAATATATACAACTGTATTAAATATAGGTAAACTTTAATTTAGCCAGATTTATGTATCTATCTTTATAATTGTGACGTATAAAATTGAATTATCTGAACCACGATATGTTCATTATATATGTATTTAAAAATGAATTCCACCTTCAAGTGTCGCAATTATGCGTTTGAATCAATTTTCATGAATGTTTGAATGCCTGCGTGTCTTACTCTGGCATTTTGTGATAGTGGTTTTCCTAGCTCTCCATCCTAGCTAGGTTTTCCCACTATTCCTCTGACTACTCTCTACATTACATTTACGATTACATTCACATTTACATATCTAACTCTGTAATATTTAAAGTTGATGAGGGCTGCTGGCCATATATCAATAAATACTATACTATACTACTCTGGCATTTAATCATGTTCAAAGATCGATTTCTATTGTCATTTTGCACACAACAAATCTAATTGCTGACACAACTAATCATAAATTTAATAAATATCTGTACTAAATATCTGTAATAAATAACTTAATTCATAACAGATTTATGTAAAACTCAAACAGGGTATTATGTCACTGTCACGATCATGACATTCGTTGTGGGGATGATCTGTCAAAAAAATGCAGATATGTATGTATGTAAATCGTTTCAGTCAAAAAATCGAAAATGAACGGCGTAGTTGGTTTGATGGCTCTTCTATTTGCGACGGTCGAAGGACAGGTGAGATTTTTTTAAATTATACAATTTTTAATATAATACTCAACATTATTTCAATAAGTTTTAATTTTGTTTAGATCAACCAAACTTTAGTCGCATCATGTAAGTAAAACTTAGACTTGGGTAAATATTTCTGCAGCAATCATGCATTTTATACCGATTGCAGCCACGTCTCATCCCCATACGACTGAAGAAACATTAACTTCTTCAAAATCGCATCAGCCAATAATCAAATCAACGACGCCTCCAACAATTTTGACTACAACAACACCACAAATATTTACCACACTTCCACCCAAACTTCTACCACAAGCGACGACAATACCGCAAAACACAGTAAAATCAACATCGACAACCATACCCCCACTTTTTACAACAATTGTGCAGCATCTTGTCCAGAAAATGACCCCCTTCACATCACCACGTCCAACAATTCAATCAGACTGGCCTCCTCGAATTATTAGAACCTTAGCAACAACCAGTCTTCCAGATTTTCTCGAAAGACGAGCCACCTCACCGTCCCCTCAAAATACAGAAGGCATCCCACATTCCCCCATTATTCGGGCTAAACCGAGTACCAAGAAGAAGAGTGGAAATTCCGCAAATTCTAAGGCGACCAATCGAAAAGCTGCGACCAATGCAAAAGCCTCTACCAAGAAACCCGCGAACAACAAGAAGAAAAAACCAGGAGGTAAGAAACGCGCCCCGAATCGTGGCGGGGGACAAGTCGGCGGGAGAAATAATAACGCTAGAAACCAGGCTGGCGTAACTTTAACCGCCACTGTGAAACCGAAAGCGAACGGGGGAGGGAGTCAGTTGCAGGTGTCGGTTAAAAATAACCAAAATAAGGGACGTCAACCCATCGTGGTGGTCGTCGTGCTGGGCGACGGGAATAAGAAGATTGTCAAAGCGAAGGGAAATGTGCCAATTAAGGTGAAACAAGGTTGATGAAGAGGTACACATTTTGCGGGATTATGACGAGGATTTGTTATTTATGATAAAATTTAAGAAATAAATAAGTACTTATTTTGGAGAAAGTATTTGTATTTTATTTCAAACATTTAGTAAATATTTGTAAACTTTGTAGCTTCATCTTTAAATTAAGCGTCTACTGTAAATCAATTCAAAAGCATTATAAACTAAAGGTATTAATTTGTAAAGATCTGTACTTACAAATATTTACATATGCACGTATGCAAATATGTGCAAATACTTATGTTGCAAATGTAGATACTCTAGAAAATCTGGGTAGTCACAGTATGTCTGCTGTCTCTTGGAGTCTCAGATTAATCAGGAAATAAATATATTAGGAAACTTACTTCATAACCAAATTTACAAGCAATTCAAAATAGGTATGTCTATGCACTATTTACACTCATATGAGATGATTTGCATCGAATATGTAAGCATTAAGTCCGTTCTGCATGGCATGGCGACATGAAATTGATATTGCATTGTTATCAGATTTTCATCCTCGTACATACATAACACCTGACTTAACAATAAAAAATAGTGTTATATAATTTCTAGAAAAACACACGCATCTCATCTTCCCTATTAAACCAATTTGGTTTAACCAAATTAAATAGGACAACAGACATCTAGTCTATACAGATTCATGCTTGTTTTATGAACGCGAAAACTTTCACGACACAAATCTTTCGAGCTTCGTAAATTTGTTAAATGCATCAGTTACAATGCTGAATTAGAAGGTACGCTCACTGTTTGATTCATTAAACGACAAGTAAATTATGGAAGTAATGTTCAATCAATAAACGTACATGCAAAAGTCATGAGTGAGATATTCTATCTAATATTTTGCAAAAAAAAAATTTGTCTGCATACATTGTTCTAAACAAAAATTTTATCAATTTTACGGCACAGGTAAACAGGACCAGTCTTGAAATTTGATTGTTAGAATCATATGTGTATGAAAATGTCGAATTTTTATGATAGGAAAATGAATACATTTTATTTAATAATTGGATTACACGGGTTTTTAGTGGAAAACTCGAAGAAAAAGAATGTGCTTTATTTTGTCAATATTTCGAATGCTATCTACTATTCATTATCAAGACATGTAAAAGATTTTACATGTCTAGATTACATAGATTACATTTTACTTTAAGCATATTCAGGGTTATTTATCCTATTTTGACCGGATTTAAAAAAGACTCAATTAAGTGAGGGTATCGGTTTCGGTATTTATCTAGGTAAATTTATTCTCGAACTATAAATACATGCTCGTCTACTTATATTTCCGCCGCTCTGCTAGCACTAAAACAACCAAGGAAACCGTTATCCAGCCAAGAACGGGCAGAAATCCCGTGGCCACGACCGGATTCGTAGTCCCCCATCCTCTCGTACAAATTGATCTCAGCGCCTTGATCATTTTGGTAATCGGTACGAAGGCAAACAATTTACGGACAACCCATGGCGCCATTTCGGTAGGCCATATTGCTCCTGTGTTTAAAAGGATCACAATAAGTACATATTTATGTGTGTTGTGGTGACATTGTCACCAAGCACGGACATTAGATGACTCCTTGGTTACAGTTTTTTTACCAATTGTCATTTGATTGTCGAGGGGAATATTAGTAGATTCCGCAGACAATTACATATTGTTTTGCGGTTAAAAAATTGTTACCAGGCTCTGTGTCTACCTATTTTGGTACCGTGCAGTGCACGAATTTAATTCGTGCACTGTCCGGTACCAAGATGTGGAGAAATTCATGAATACCTGTCCAAAATATTTGCCCCTGAGAAACCAGAATTATTATGAAAATAACGTCCAGTATCTTGTCACATAATGCGGCAATCACAACACCTGAAAACAAGCATATCTTGACAAATCACTCTTCAATTAAACCAAACTTTACGTTATTTACCCAACATCAACCCGGTTATGCCACAAGAGTAAAGCAAACTCACTGCAAGTACCCACGAACCATTGATGCCATAAAAATTGTACATTACTCCGAGGAACATCCCAATCTGTATCAAAATTATGAAACTTTGACTCAAAATAATGGAAATAATTCGATGCCACAGGTGCACTCCGGCAATAAATTCTCTCCCCTCGAAGCCAATGATTCGGTCTTCCGTCCAAAATACGGCGACTGCCATTGGAAACGAAAACACATGTCTGTCACCAAAAAGGAAAGATTTGTTTTCTGCGACAAAGATAAGGATTTTTGATAACCCTGCAAAGTCACCTGACCAATGCATCATAGATAATCTCCGGGGAACATTAGCATAGAATTGGTAAGCAGTTTAAGACCATAAATGACCAAAAGAAAGCTATTGTCAAGTTATGGCGAAAATTAGCTCAATCTGAGGTAACTATGCGGTTTAAATCTTTTCCAAATAGACGTTTGAAGTCATCTGGAATCATGGTGGAACGGAGCATTACTAAAATATTTTTTAAAAAAATGATTTGAGTGCTTTTTATGAAGTGCCTTTAACCTTTTGACGCGCATGAATTTTCCGATTTTTAAAATTTGTCTCATTTTCCGCTTGTACGAATTAAATTGGTAGATTTTAATTATTATTTAATTGTTTAAATTAGTTAGCTACTAAATAAAATACAATTCGTTGACCGTGGTTCAAGGGGTCAAGAGATATGATCATCACGCAGGGTGCCTTTAACCTTTTGTCGTGGAGTGTATACTTAATTTTAATTGCAGATATTTTTTAACCAAGCCTTTTATAGTATGGAGCACACGAGTGTCTATGTAAATATGTGCCCTCAAGACGATTTTAGCGGGAAGCGGAATTAATACGAACAATTGGAACATCGAAACATGGACAAGACATGAACGTGGACTCCAAGAATATCTGAACTCCTGTCCTGAAATTGTCTAGCTTCCGATTTTCGAATTATCCGATTTTCCAAGACGGTTTTAAGAATGTTTTGAAAATTCCGAATCTGGGAAGTACGATTTGGTTGGTGAGACGCCAAACTTTTGCGGTGGAATTAAATTTTCAATTTGGTTCATGACTTCATGCCCCTGCTCTTTCCGAGCTGTTGACGACAAACTTTTAATCTGACGTTCGGAATAAAAATACTGAATACATACAGATTGTTTACATATCTGCATAATATGTACATACATTATGCATATATGTGCATTGTACATATTTGCATTAGTAAGTGCACCATCTTCTACATTTAGACAAAATATAATTCGAATAAATTGGATTATTTTTGGCATTAAAATTGAAAGTAACTTTAAATATGAAGGTCATTTTGGACACCGAGCTCATTTCAGTAAGGACGCTGAAGTAATACGAGTGAAAGAAACGAATCAAATTACTTATCGTTAGCAAACAATTTGGGAGAGTGACAGACTTAAAAAATCAATGAGCAAGTCGCTCTTTTTATACACACTGGATATTTATGGGTATATGCACATAGATTGAAGAGTAACAATAATTCGATTCAGCATCGAGATCCACCACTAATTTTAGAATTCGAAATCAAGTATTTTAGCATGTTACTATACTCTGTGTGCGATGATTAAGATAAATTTTTTGGAGGGGCAATTACCCTGGGGGCCGTTATGGACTTATAACATGGTGAATATTGGGGAGCCGATTTCTCTGGAATGGGTGAATGGAATTGCAAGTTCTTTTTTTTGTTGGATTCTATATTTAAATAGCTCGGACCCATTTTTGTATTTTCCCGAAATTCGTATTTTGAAATTTCGAAAACCAACATCAAAATTTTGATTTTTCTGTTTTCATCAGATTAAGTTTCTTTAGCACTAAATATGAATGCAGTCTTGTATAATGGCAATAAATACAGTTAGCAGGACTATATTCTTAAATTTTATGAAATTTTGAACTGAGCTATAATTGCCGTATACGCATTTTTTGAATTATATTTCTATAAATTATATTATAGTTCGTCTAAATCATCTCGCTTTGCTCTTTGGATAATTTGTTACCCCGTAAAATGGTGATGGGGTTCGTAAAGGGCTGTTGATTCGGGATTTTAATACAATACGGCAAACTTGAAATTGCAAAATCCAAGAAATTCCACTTGCAGTAATACGACAATATGACAATTTGCGACAATAATTCCATCGACTGAATCAATAGACAAAAAACATTCGAAGGCAATACACGAGCTCAAAGACATTGAGAAGGAACTCATGACCAGTATTACTCGAGCCATGTCACTAGAGGGAAGTCGGTCAGTTCGGATTTATTTCAAAATTTCATCACATTTAAGAATCTCAGCAATAATATGGTATCAAGCAATGGGCTCAGAATAGATCACCTGGTCTATTGGTCTAACTTCCTTAATTGTAAGATCTCAAAGTTGACGTTGCCAATACCGTACTAGTGTGGGAAATCGCTTGGGCCCACGGGATACCAGTATACTTTTGTCATCACAGGACACTGCAGTTTGAATGGGCATCTGAATAAGGTAAGCCTAGTTTAATCTCCCACCAGCGGGGAGGAGAACGAGTCAGTGGCTCATACTTACAGATTGTAAAGCCTACAGCGCCCTGAGATTTAAAATCTTCATTTGTTCTACCTTAAGGAAGTAAGGGAGTATCCTATCCTCTCAAAAAAGTTCTGGGCTTTCTGAGGTCTGGCAGAGTCGCCAGCTTTGTAGCTGGCGAATCGAATCCAGTTTTGCAACTGATAACTATTAACACGTGAATAAAGGTTTAAATCAAATCGAGAGAGGCTCTAACACAATAATCGCATTCGAGTGCATTGAGGTGTCTGCAATAGGTCCAAATGGTGACATGAGCGGCTGGACTGCTGCGCCTATAGGCAGGAATCCTCCTCATATAATACATATATACAATGAAAGTAGTTAGCAAAATACCCATGTTTTTGGCCTCTATTGATTCAGTCGACTGAATTATTGTCGCAAAAATGCGCATACGGCAATTATAGCTCAGTTCAAAATTTCATAAAATTTAAGAATATAGTCCTGCTAACTGTATTTATTGCCATTATACAAGACTGCATTCATATTTAGTGCTAAAGAAACTTAATCTGATGAAAACAGAAAAATCAAAATTTTGATGTTGGTTTTCGAAATTTCAAAATACGAATTTCGGGAAAATACAAAAATGGGTCCGAGCTATTTAAATATAGAATCCAACAAAAAAAAGAACTTGCAATTCCATTCACCCATTCCAGAGAAATCGGCTCCCCAATATTCACCATGTTATAAGTCCATAACGGCCCCCAGGGTAATTGCCCCTCCAAAAAATGTATCTTAATCATCACACACAGAGTATAGTAACATGCTAAAATACTTGATTTCGAATTCTAAAATTAGTGGTGGATCTCGATGCTGA